ATGGGATGCACGAGTGTCCTGAATCCTGCCTGGATTCCTGGAGAAATCCGGAGAAATCAGAGAACTGATCCCACAAACTGATCCCACAAACTGATCCCAGGAGAGGCTGATCCCACAAACTGATCCCACAAACTGATCCCAAAAACTGATCCCAAAAACTGATCCCAAAAACTGATCCCAGGAGAGGCTGATCCCAAAAACTGATCCCAAAAACTGATCCCAAAAACTGATCCCAGGAGAGGCTGATCCCAAAAACTGATACCAAAAACTGATCCCAGGAGAGGCTGATCCCAAAAACGGATCCCAAAAACTGATACCAAAAACTGATCCCAAAAACTGATCCCAAAAACTGATCCCAGGAGAGGCTGGTTCTGCCCTGGAATTCCTGGCTCCAACACGGAGCTGCTGCCTTTTCCCTGGAATTCCTCATTCCTCCCTGGAATTCCTGGCTCCTCCCTGGAATTCCTGGCTCCTCCCTGGAATTCCTCTGGAGCTCCTGGAGCCGCTGGATCCAGAACCTCCCAACAAGATCCAGGAGTTCCCAATTCCTCCCTGGATCCTTCCCAGAACTCCCAGTTCCCCCCTGGATCCCCTGGATTTTCCCTGGATCCTTCCCAGATCTCCCAGTTCCCCCCTGGAATTCCCGGATTTTCCCTGGATCCTGCCCAGAACTCCCAGTTCCCCCCTGGATCTCCCGGATTTTCCCAGGGTTTTCCCTGATTCCCGTTTTCCCGGATTTTCCCAGGGTTTTCCCTGATTCCCGTTTTTCCCTGGCAGTTCAATTACATGCACGAGTGCTTCGAGCGAGTGTTCTGCGAGCTCAAGTGGAGGAAGGAGGTGAGAATTCCCAACTTTCCCCATTCCCAGGCGGTTTTCCGTGGGAAAAGCTCCTCCTGCTCCATCCCAGCTCCCGCAGGGATCCCCCTGGATCGTCCTGGGCTGGGGAGGAATTCATGGAGCAGCTGGAAAAGGGAGCTGCAGGAGCTGGGAAAAGGCTCCTGGAGCTGGGAATGCGCTGGGATAAATCTGGGAAGAGCCTTGGGGAGCTGGGAATGGCCTGGGCTGGGGAAAAGTCATTCCAGAACCATTCCAGAACCATTCCAGAGCCCAAAACCATTCCAGAGTCATTCCAGAGCCATTCCAGAGCCAGTCCAGAGCTAGTCCAGAACCAGTCCAAACTCCAGAGCCAGTCCAGAGCCATTCCAGAACCAGAAACTCCAGAGCCAGTCCAGAGCCAGTCCAGAGCCAGTCCAAACTCCAGAACCATTCCAGAACCATTCCAGAGTCCAGAGCCGTTCCAGAGCCATTCCAGAACCATTCCAGAGCCCAAAACCATTCCAGAACCATTCCAGAGTCCAGAGCCATTCCAGAACCATTCCAGAGCCCTTCCAGAACCATTCCAGAACCATTCCAGAGGCCATTCCAGAACAATTCCAGAGTCCAGAGCCATTCCAGAGCCATTCCAGAGCCCAGAACCATTCCAGAACCATTCCAGAGCCGTTCCAGAACCATTCCAGAGCCATTCCAGAGTCCAGAGCCATTCCAGAACCATTCCAGAACCATTCCAGAGCCCAAAACCATTCCAGAACCATTCCAGAGCCATTCCAGAACCATTCCAGAGCCCAAAACCATTCCAGAGCCATTCCAGAACCATTCCAAACCCATTCCAGATCCCAGAACCATTCCAGAGCCATTCCAGGGCCATTCCCAGACTGGATTTTCCCTGTCTCGGCCCTTTTGGGATGTTTCAATCCCGGCTGCTCCTGGTTTTTCTGGGAAAAGCCTTTATCCATTCCCTGGGATTGGCTCCGGAGGGAATCCCTTCCCTTCTCCCATCCCCGGGTCGGGAACGCTCCGGGAACGCTCCGGGAGCGTCGCGTGGGGCTCGACCTCGGGGTCAGGATTGGGATTGGAGTTGGGATTTAAATTGGAATTGGGGTTGGGATTGGAGTTGGGATTTAAATTGGGATTGGAATTGGGATTGGAGTTGGGATTTAAATTGGGGTTGGGGTTGGGATTGGGATTGGGATTTAAATTGGGATTGGAATTGGAGTTGGGATTTAAATTGGGATTGGAATTGGAATTGGGGTTGGGATTGGGATTGGGATTTAAATTGGGATTGGAATTGGAATTGGGGTTGGGATTGGGATTGGAATTGGGGTTGGGGTTGGGATTGGAATTGGGGTTGGAATTAAAATTGAGGTTGGAATTAAAATTGGGATTGGGATTGGGGTTGGGTTTGGGATTTGAATTGGAGCTGGGATTTAAATTGGGATTGGAATTGGAATTGGAATTGGGGTTGGGATTGGGATTTAAATTGGGATTGGGATTGGAACTGGGGTTGGGATTGGGATTGGAATTGGAGTTAGGATTTAAATTGGAATTGGGATTGGGATTGGGGTTGGGGTTGGGATTGGAATTGGGGTTGGAATTAAAATTGAGATTGGAATTAAAATTGGGATTGGAATTAAAGTTGAGATTGGAATTAAAATTGGGATTGGGATTGGGGTTGGGTTTGGGATTTGAATTGGAGTTGGAATTTAAATTGGGATTAGGATAGGATTTGGGATTGGGAGTTTAAATTTGGATTGGGATTGGAATTAAAATTGGGATAGGAATTTATATCTGGAATTTAAATTGGGATTGGAATTAGGGTTGGAGTTGGGATTGGAATTTAAATTGGGATTGGGGACTGGAATTGGGGTTGGATTTGGGAATTTGAATTTGGATTGGGATTGAGATTGGAATTTAAATTGGGATTGGGGATTGGAATTGGGGTTGGGATTAGAATTGGAATTTAAATTTGGATAGGAATTGGGATTGGGATTTCAGTTGGGATTTGGGTTGGGGATTGGAATTGGGGTTGGATTTGGGATTGGGAATTTAAATTGGGATTGGGGATTTAAATTGGGGTTGGGATTAGAATTAAAATTGGGATTGGAACTTGAATCGGGATTGGAATTAGGGTTGGAGTTGGGATTGGAATTGGGGTGAGGGCCCTCCCATGTGTGGGAGCCCCATGCTGGGATCGGTGCTATTCCCACATTCCCAGAATTCCCACATTCCAAATTCCCACATTCCCAGAATTCCCACATTCCCAGAATTCCCAGAATTCCCACATTCCCCCATCCCCACATTCCCAGAATTCCCAGAATTCCCAGATTCTCAGAATTCCCACATTCCCAGAATTCCCAATTCCCCCATCCCCGGAATTCCCACATTCCCAATTCCCACATTCCCAATTCCCACATTCCCAGCATTCCCATATTCCCAGAATTCCCACATTCCCAGAATTCCCAGAATTCCCACATTCCCAATTCCCACATTCCCAGAATTCCCAGAATTCCCACATTCCCAGAATTCCCACATTCCCAGAATTCCCACATTCCCACATTCCCAGAATTCCCAGAATTCCCACATTCCCAGAATTCCCACATTCCCAATTCCCACATTCCAAATTCCCACATTCCCAGAATTCCCACATTCCCACATTCCCAGAATTCCCACATTCCCAGAATTCCCACATTCCCAGAATTCCCAGAATTTCCCCATCCCCACATTCCCACATTCCCAGAATTCCGACGTTCCCAGAATTCCCAGAATTCCCAGAATTCCCAGAATTCCCACATTCCCACGAATCCCCCCTTTTCCCAGCAGGAATTCCAGCTCTCTCCCGCCTTCCCCTGATCCCTTTTTCCTTCTTTTCCAGAACCTTTTCCAGCTGGTCCGGTCACAGCAAAGGGACGCGGCCACTTAACCCCGGCAGCTTTTCCATGAATCCCAAAAAATTCCGCTCTTGTATTAAAGCCCCTCCCCCCCCAAACTAAATCTCATTAATTCCAAATCCATTCGTGCCCATCATCCCTTATGGAATTCCAGAAAAAACAAAAAAAAACTGGGAAAAGCCCCACCCTGGGGGGGGGGAGGGGCTCCTTTTTCCCGCTCGGATCCAGCTCCAGGCTGGGAATTTTGGGAATTTTGGGAATTTTTTTTTTTAATTTTAAACAACTGGAATTTAAAAAAAAAAAAATCGTTTTTTTGTGAGGGGGAAAAAAAAAAGGAGGGAAAAAAAAAAACCAACCAGGAAAAATCCTTGGGAATGTTTCATCCCTGCCTGGCATCCTTGGGAATAATTCCTTGGGAATGCCAAGGGGTGGGAGCGGATTTTTAATGGGATTTTCCGCCCATTTTTCCTCCCAAATCTGGGAAAAAAAACATCCAAAAAAGGAGAAAAAATTCCAAGGAAAAATTCCTGGCACGAGGATCCCGCTCACGGATTCGTTTTCCCGCTTTGTTGGGGGATTTGGGAATTTGTTTTTCCCGGGGATTTGGTGTTCCCGGTTCCTTGGGATTGAGATCCCTGAATGGGGACGAGCAAATCCCAGGAATAAAAAAAACCAAACCTGGAAAAACCGATTTTCCCAATTTTTGAGCACTTTTTATCCGTGATTTGGGCGTCCAAACAGGAAAAATAACCTGGAAAAAAACCAAATTTTTCCCTGTTTCCAGCAGGATTTTTCCCAGCAGGATTTTTCCCGTCATTCCGGAGGGAATTAAGGTGGAAAACTCATTTTCCCTGCTTCGGAACGGGATTTTTCCACAGATCCAGGATGGAAAAATAAACGGGAAAATCCCTTTTTTCCCTCGTTTGGAGCAGGGATTTTCCACGTCTTGGGTGCTGCCAGAGGGAAAAACCCTTTGGAAAAGGTGTTTTCCCTAATTCCCAGTGGGTCTTTCCCACGTTTTGGGAAGAAAAATCACCCGGAAAAGCCGTTTTTCCATGGATTTGGGTGGATGTTTCCATGATTTGGGAGTTAAAAATCACCTGGAAAAGCCGTTTTTCCATGGATTTGGGCGGATTTTTCCATGTTTTTTGGAGGAAAAAAAAATCACCTGGAAAATCTGTTTTTCCATGAATTTTCCCACGTTTTGGGAGTTAAAAATCACCTGGAAAAGCCGTTTTTCCATGGATTTGAGTTGGATTTTTCCATGTTTTTGGAGGGAAAAAAAATCACCCGGAAAAGCCGTTTTTCCATGGATTTTTCCATGTTTTTTGGAGGAAAAAAAAATCACCCGGAAAAGCCGTTTTTCCATGGATTTGAGCTGGATTTTTCCATGACCTGGGAGAAAAAATCACCTGGAAAAGCCGTTTTTCCATGGATTTGAGCTGGATTTTTCCACGTTTTGTGAAGAAAAAAAATCACCTGGAAAAGCCGTTTTTCCATCGATTTTTCCATGTTTTGGGAGGAAAAAATAACCTGGAAAAGCCGTTTTTCCATGGATTTTTCCATGGATTTTTCCATGGATTTTTCCATGTTTTGGGAGTTAAAAATCACCTGGAAAAGCCGTTATTTCCCAGTTTTTGGGCTGGCCTGGAGCTGGTTCTGCCAGGGTTTGGGATGGATTTGGGAATATTTGGATCCAAACCCAGCCAGGAGCATCCCGGCCTCATTCCCGACCTCTGGGATGGGCTGGAATTGCTCCAAAATTGGGATTTTCCCCCCCAAAAAAATTCCCGTTTTGGGAAGGTTTTTCCCCACTCCTGGAGCTGGGATTGGGGGAGGGAAAATCCCAAATCCTCGGCCGGGAATTAATTCCGTTAATTGGATCCCTGAAATTAATTGGATTTCCGTTGTCCTCGGGAGCCCCCAGCCGTGGAAAACCCAGGAATGGGAGGGGAAAAAAAAAACCGGGAGAGGTTTGAGAACCCCGAAATTCCCCCATAAATTCCCTTTATCTCCCAAATTTGGGTAAAAATCCCAGGAAAAAACCCAATTTTGATCCCGATTTTTCCCTCCATCCCCAAATCCCAACGGATCAAGGAGAACCGAACCATCCTGGGGATTTTTTAATCCAAAAAAAAAACCTCGGAAAAGGGAGAAATCCAAAAAAAAAAAAAAAACCCCCCAAAACCGAATCCCTGCCCCTCCCTTTTCCCGTTTTTCCGGCTGCTCCCGGCGTTCCCGTTCCTCGGTTTCCCGCTGGGGAAAAGCCTCGTTAGTGTAATTAATTGTAACATATTCTTTTAAATAAATTGATTTATTGAGGAAATTCCGGAGGGCCGTGGCTCCTTCTCCTGGAGAGGGGGGGAGAGAAAAGGGGGGTGGGGGGAGGGAGAGAAAAATCCGGGAATGGTTTCAAACTTCTGGATTTTGGGAATTCCGTGGGGGATTTTATTTAAGGGTT